TTGGCCAAGAGTACTGGGTATCAAAGCGTCGAAAGGCTTCACTTCAGAGTAAAGAAGGCTTGAGGGCTGCATGTTGCAAGCTACGGGAGAGGTTCGACCAAACTGATCTCCTACCCTCACGTCTACCCATGCGGTGGGGTGCTCAGGTCCTGGATGTCGTTTGTCGCATGGGTCCCCGGACTTGGGACCGGGGCGGCCACCGCGGATCAGCGGTGCCCCATCTTCCTCTATGCCGCTGCTGGCACTACAGCTGCGCGCTGGAGCTCGACGCTGCAGACTGGTCCTTGTATGGGCAGCGGAAGCGCGAAAACCAATCCTGTAGTTCTCGTTGCCGATCGGAACCCAGAAGCGGCCAGATGGACAGAATGAGCTCCTGGTAGAAAGCCAAAGCACAAATGTCGACCAGCTCGTATGCCAGCGTGGTGGTCTTGGAGAAGAAGAGCTGTTCGTCCAGCCGGCGTGCAAGCAAAGTCTGCATCTGTTGCACCAACAGTGCTTTGGATGGATCGCCTTGTTGTCCTCTGGCGAATATCCACCCCATGTCGTTGGGAAGGACAGGGTTTTCCAACGCGCTACGAAGGGACGCAAAGTCCTGGGAAAATTCCGTTCCAGTTGGCTCCAGTAGCCATGGTTGTACCAGCTGTTCCATCTCTTCAGGGCTGCATCCATTGGACCGGCGGCTGAGGCGTTGGACCACACTCCTCTCAGCATGGCCCTGCTCTCGGAACCGTTGTTCCATGTAGCAGCTGCAGAGTTTGCATAACACTTGCCTGCGAAACCAGCTAAGCCGATCCGACATGTCGTGGTTGAGGAAGTGCTCCTTGGGCTGCTGTGGTCCAAAGGCGGATGCAGGTTGGGACGATGAGCTGGGTCCATGGTCGCTACCGTCCAGTTCGCTGTCCATAGGAGGTTGCTCCGGGCGCGGGTCGGCGTGGGTTGCACTGTCGGCAGAGTCAAGATCGCTAAGATGAGCAGAGCCTGGGGACATCGAAGGGTCCTCATCGGAATCAAAGCTCGAAGACGATCCATGGAGAGAGCGCGGCATGTGCAAGGCATAAAGGACAGGGCCCTATAAAGGGTGGCCCGCGCGTTGGGCCGAGACGCTTATTGTATTGTGTGTATATATATATATATGTAGCGACTTCGACATGAGGCTGCGCTTTCAGCATCGGTCACCAAAGAGAACAGAATCACTCTTCCAATTTCGGTAATTTCCTCGTTGTGTATTCCGTCAACTGGTGCATTCGGACACCATGGCAAAGCGGGGCCGTTTTGCAGCTGCACGCGATTGGTCGATTGGTGTGGCCAAGCCTCGAGCAACAGCATGAGGTTCATTCTGCTTGAGCACACATGGCAGGAAAACTTGCTTCCACGAGCCCCTTCTGCACCCTTCCACGCGGATGGTCCCACAAGATCTGCGTAACAACATGTAACAACTTCACACCCTGGACGCTTTATCCGTTCCTGCATTCGCCTGCATTGCCTACCGCCCTCTTGCATCCTCTTGCTCTGAGCGCAATTTGGTTCTGTATCGCAACGCGGAAATCCAGGAATCCATAATCTATTTGCGACAGCATCACGATATGCCACGAAAATGCTGGCCCCAGCTTTAAAGACAAAAGACAAACGAAAGGCATGCAGCCATCCCATCAATGGAGCCAGATCCTCACAGACAAAGGGAAACACAAGTCCAATGGCTTCGTGCCTGACAACTGCACTCTTGTTGCGACTTTGATTAGACCTCAGACATGTGATGTCGAAGCCAATCAAGTCGCGGCATGGTCTGTGCTGAGGCAGTCACTCCGCCAAAATCGTGTGGCCCAGGTCGATCACGTGGATGCGAACTCAGTCCAGCAGCGCTCCGCACTGTTTGAACAGATCAGCGGCTGAACAGCAATGCGTCTTGTAAGATTTCTGCTGCCAGCTTTCCTCTCGGAAACCATAAGATTCGTGGTCCCTTAGATTGCCGGCCGCACGTGTGGGAATCAGACTCTTCCAACTAAAATTCAATAATTTTCGACACAGTAGCGAAAGTCGCGGTGTATCAGTCCCATGTCTACCAAATAAACCAATGCCTGTTGAGCAGTCACTGCACAAGCATTCATACAGCCTACCGAAGGGTCCGAACCTCTGCAGCTTGTCGAACCACAATCTGCTTCTCCTGCGAGCTGGGATGGTACCCCCTGACACGACCCACTTGCTGCATGCACCACAAACAGGGTGGTCCTCTTGACTCAGGAGCGCTTCCCTGCGAACGGGCTGATCTCGACTCCAGCCCAAGGCCTTAAACAAAACGAACGTTTTTGTAATGGTGTGCCATACGATGTGAAGCAAAACCTGCGTGCAACAGCGGCACTGTGTTCGTGTCGAACTCTGACGCACGCAGAGAGACATGTAGCTGCGACAAGTAGGTCACTACGGCTCTGTATGGCTCCGTGGAGCTGTCGCCCAAGTCTTGACATGACATGAACCCAGAGCCAAACCAAACTCCTCTATCACTCAATTCGGCGCGCATCGGCGAGCACCAAAATTGTGTTTGGTTGATTTTGATGTCGGGGTCTGTCACTGCGTCTACTGCTGCTAGCTGAAGGTCAAGGAGCGCCCATATGTGCCCAAACGAAGAATATTCACTAGAACATAGGCCATTTGGCACGACTTTAACCGTGCGCGCCGGATGGAACAGATTGTGCAGCATGCATGAGCTTTCAGAGCGAATTCCGGCATGCGGCGCATGTTGTCAGGCATCTATACTGTAGATGGTCATAGCCTGGCTGATCCAATCTGATCTGTTTTTGGCTGGCACAGCTTTGCGCTTCCAGTGAAGAGTCGTGGGCTTTCAACCGGCTGCCAACAATTCTATGATTTTGGGAGTGTCCTTTCGTTTCGATTCACAGGCAAAGGCACAGGTTGTTGGCGATTGAGCTTCTAGGCTCTGCGAATGATTTTGACGGGGAAATGGAGTTGCTTTCCACCATCCGGACAAACTTCCTTGTAAAACCGTGGGCTGCCAGGAGTTGCCACCATGGCCTGTCACTTGTCCAAGAGCTTGCCCGTCAAAGCGTGGAAAAAGCTCTTGCCGTGGCCCAGTAGGCTGAACTGGCACTTGGTCAGAGCTTCGATCCTTCTTGGTTTCAGCCATCCGAGGTTGAATGCTGCTTGTCTGCTACTTTTGCTGAATGTCACTTCTGGCAATCGGCGAACCTGAGATTTTGAACAAGGCCTCCTGAGGCAAAGGCTGCGTGAAGTGTTCTGCCAGGGACAAACTCCATAGCCACATAAGGATGTGGCGGCAGTGTCTCTGGAGGCCTGGCGTAGCGCCGCAAAGCCCCGCAAAGCACCACCCGATCCCCCAGACAAGGCTTGAGCGGTCTCTCGCTCTGTCGGCATTTGTCGGCCTGAACTTGTCCCAGCGGAACTCCGGTGCTTCGAAGGTCGCACGCTCCTCGGAGAAAGTCCGGGCGGCGATGGCGTGCGATGGCGGATTCTTAGGCTCTCGCGGCATCGAAGTCCATATCGCGGCTCCATCGGCCGGTATGGTCCTGCCCACTGCAAGGCACCACAAGGCACAGCAAGGCACTGCAAGGCACTCAACGGCTGGGCCCCAAGAGCCTCGAGGTATCGAGCGAAGAGAGCTGCCTGCAGGATACTAAGGTCAAGTCATGTCTAGCCCAAGCCTCTCGCACGATGTCATCTCACGTCACCTCTGATCTGACCAGCCTTCTTCTCTGAGAACCCTTTGTAGCTTGAGTTGTGGAGCCTGGGAGCTCGACTGGTCTCAGTCTCAGTCAGTCTCCATGTTATCCGGCCTTTGCAATGACCACTGAGCTTCCCGATGAAGGATGAAGGCGCTTCGCAGCTGCACGCAATCAAGAAACACACGCTATAGCATCCTGTGGCTCTTGCACGGTCACGCCTTTGCCGTCGGCTTGGCACCTTTGGTGACCTTGCAGACCTGTCATGAAGCCCATGAACAAGAGGAGGACAACTCCGTGGATGCTGCCTTGATGGCCACGTCCCCCTTCAGCTTCCCCGTAATGTCGATGGCTTGGTGAACCTCACCAGACCCGGCAAGCATGCCGCGTCCAAGCTCGAGCCGGGAGTCGACACACGACAGTGCCAGAGCTTTCTTGCCGTGTCAGAACTATTTCCTGTGATTGGTGAACTCTAAACAGATTGAGGCAGATGCTACGCCCAAAGCACCTTCTCCGAGTTTGCCCCGATATCTCCTGGTACGTAAACAGAACATCAATGTAGCCTTACCGGAAAGAGACATCGACTCGCAATCAACGACAAACGTCTGAGTACCGCAGCCACCGCCCGGTCTTATGTCTGGAATCATACCTGCCAGCATAGCATGCGAGAACACTGCGAAATTGTTGCATGTGCAGGTCACATCCAGTGCTGCAGGATGATGTGACATCTCGGTGGCCGACGCATCCGGAAGCCCCGGACCGAAGTTTGAAACCGTGAGAACCACTGCTTGGTCATGGACCTGACAGGGGTTGCTGCTTTCAAAGCGATCGTTAGTGAGATTTCAAGTCAAAAGTTAGTCGTCCAGCACTGTTTGCAATCTGAACTGCGGAACCGCAAGGACGACAGGAACAACACACCAAGGCTCGAAATATCTGAAGTGAACCCGATGCCGCACACTCATGCGCACGTACACATCATATCATATCATATCATATCAACCAAGCAAAGCAGGCAGCTGCGCTCGAGCCGGCAAGGCCTTGCAGTTGAAGGGAAGCAAAATCTGCGAATATTGGCCCAAGGCCTTGCCTGAGCAGCTACGCTAGGCCCACAACCAACTCACTGAACAATGAGTGCTTTGCCACTTATTCCAGCTACTGCTCATGGCACTACCATCAGCCACAACAAATTTCCCACCAGAAGCGGCGCCGTCACTCGTCCGACATGGGGGTGTCATGAATCAAGGTTAGGAATATCTGCCCTGCCAGACGGCTCCATGTAAGACGGTTCGAGTCCTAAGTTCTAAGTATCCGGCTATCTCCTTTTCGCACAGGCTGCCACTCCTGCAAATTGCGATTTGGCTTGGGACAGGCAGTTCCATGGACGCGAAGCCCGAAGTCAGACAAGCAACCATTTTGAGTATCAAGCACTGCCCGAGGCCAAACCAGTGCCGTTCCTGAGCCGGCAAGATTTCTGCGGCCCACCCGCTGCCCAGTGCAAGGACTCAGGACTCACTGAGTCAAATAAGCAAAGGACGTGGAGGTATCCTCGAGACACATCTCTGACCTCAGCGCGCGAAAGCCACCGAAGAACAGATCTGGAGCACAGTCTATCCAAGAGCTTCACGTGTCCTCGTTGACTCGCCTGAGGATCACTAGATCTCCACGAACAACCAACGACAGAAATGACGAGCCTGTGCCGCAGGACCGCATGTCGCCCTGACACTCCCCTGGATTGGAGAACCTCGCCAACCAAGGCACTGGGACCTTGCGCTGCGGGATTAGGCTCCACACCACATCGCAGTCAGCGGCGCGCCCAAGCACCACCGCCTCACAAGACATCACCCATCGCGTGCATGCTGCAGACTGCACGCTTCGCCCTCTCTTCGCCTCGCCGGGTGCCAAGACGAATTGCCATGGTTGCTCCGCTCCCGCTCGAGCGACTGCGACAACGGCAGCGGCCTGCACCGGCACGGTGTATGACACAATGCAACACTCAGACACACTGACACAACCGCAGCACGAAGCTCGCCTGCCCATTCTTATTCATCCCATTCTTCCAGACAAAGGGTTTTAAGGAGCTTCGTTGTGCAATCGGGTAGTTCAAAGCCTGGGGCTAGCTTCAGGGTGCAGGCCTTGGGCCGAACGTTCAGACAGTTTACTGGGTGCGGGTTTCATCTGTTTAGTTCCGTGTGAGGGTGTGGGTGGATCAGTCTAGCGTTGTCGCTGAACCAGGTGATGCGTCCAGGAAAGCACGGTGTACGCAGAAGCTTCCGCTGTCAGCATAAATCAGCTCGGTCAAGAGGTGTAAGCTGGAGCAGCACGGCGGGCAAAAATTTTCTGCTGCGGTTCAAGATGCTGAAAGCCAGATTGCCTAGAGCAAGCCAGCTTCCATTTCACAAACCTCGTGGCTGCCCATGTTTGGCCGACAGCCGAAAAGGACTCCTCCAAGACGAGCACATAGCATCAATAATACCGTGCTTGCACGGGGTCTAAACTTCTCGCGTCGTTCAGCTATGTTCAGCTCATCTTCATGCTCTAACGACAACAGTTTCAAGCAGCACTAGCTTGGCCAGCATGCTATCCTCAGTGCCCTGTCCATTTACTTTGCTCAGCGTCCGATGTGCGGCCCCTGCAACACGTCTGCCTGCAATTCGCTTGCGTGCAAGATGTCAAGATGCAGCAGAACAAGAGCCAAGTTACGTGCAAGCAGGGCACCGGCCGGAGCAAGTTTACCGACAAGGTCTCCATGACAGTCTGCCGCCCAAACGAAAACCTCGTGCCGGTTCTGCACTCCACGGAAGGTGTTGAGGAATGCCACGGTTGGCTGAGCTCCTCACGTTGCTGACCCGACCTGCGGCTTCAAGCGACATTTGGAGCTGAGTCTCCTGCAGGGTTAGTTGGTGCCATGAGCAGAGAGGATGATGGCATGATCCTGGTGGCAGCGCTGGAGCTGCACGAAGACGGCGACCAAGAACCTGCCACCAGGGCCGGCACAAAGGCTCTCAGCTGAGGTCGTGGTCGAGGAAGGTCGAGGTGCATGTTGGAGAAGGCACTCCAGCCGAGACCGGTCTTGGCGATCATCTCGAGGCCACAAAGAGGGAAGTCCAAGCCTCGGCCGGTTTTGCACTTCATGGCTGAGACGGTGCGGGGACACATGGACCTAGGAGTCCGACTGTCTGCATCGCGAGCTCTGGCAGCAGCAGAAGCCAGCAAGGACATCGCACAGGTGCGAAGGCTTTCAACAGCCTACAGTCTGTGTTGGTCTTTGCATGTGGTTCCCTCACCCTCCACACCCGCCGGTGGGGCCTGGGCCTCCGCTTGCTCCGCTTCTGCTTCGACGGCGGCATCTGCGAGGCACTGGACCAGCTCCAAAGCCATCTCCTTGGGCATCTCGAAAGCGGTCGCCTACCGTAGTCGAGTCCAAGCCGTGACAAGCTGCGCGAACCAAGGGCGCGCCTGGGCCATAGCCGCAAACTGGTTGATGTGATCCCAGCGAGCACCTCGTTCCCCTAAGCTCAAGATCTTGGTGGCAACGCCTCACCAGTGGAATGTCAAAGGACTTTTGCCACAGCATCTCTTCTGCACGTGCGTTTATTGATCGGGTATAACAATAGCAGCTTAGCATCCTAAAATCAAGCGACGGGCCTACACCACCTCCCGCCAGGCTCTCCATGACGGCAGCAGAGTTCATCATTTTCAGTTCTGTCTCGTCGTGGCCAGGTCTGGTTCTCACCTTCGGAAAACCGCCGATTGGAAACGCATTCAGCCAAACCAAATGTGATCAGCGCCTTCGCAATCGGCATACTTCTGGAAAGTTCACCATGCATGCACCACTTGTCCTGGCGTTGAATGCCTTAGATCCCGGTGGCTAACCGGCACTTTGCTGAACACAGCAGCCAAACCAGTCGCACCTGCAGAGGCACTGTTGTATGCCATGACGTAAGGTTCGCTCCAATCAAAGTTCACCTGCGACTAGGCGCCCAATCAAATCTTCATGAATCTCTCTCCCAGAAATTGAGCCCATCGCGGCAACTCCTTCAGAGCCCTCGATCTCGATGAACCTGCCAGCACACTTTCGAAGGCATAGCATCAAAACCAGACAAAGACATCGACTCCAGAGCAGAGGCATAAGTCGCAAGAGACGCGGTTTCGAAGCTTGTGTGGAAGACGTGTCCAGCTCGCTCCCACCACCTGTCACGCACTGGCGACATGTGCCCCTCACCGTTACCACACGAATTCAGGACTTGTTCCAGCCACGGTACGCAGGACAGCTCTGATTGAGTCATCGGTATGTGCTGGAGCTCGATCAATGACTTCTCGATGAAGCCGAGTTGTCCGAACCTGAGACATCAACTAGTCAATGAGTAAAGAATGAAATCTTTGAAGTACATTGCACAGGTTGCCAGCAGAGAGCACTGACAAGGATTTGCAAGCTTCCAGCCTCATGCTTGCCGCTGTACCGGACTCCACGTGCAGCGTCCGCTCCGTCCTGATACTCTCGTGCACTGAGTCTGCCGTCAAGACAAGCCAAACCCCGCCACATCCTCAACACGATGCCGACTTCTTGCCGAGAATGCGTGACGCTTCCAAAACCTCTCACCTGATCACAAGCACGACCACATTCAGAAAGGTGCCGACCCAAAGCGGCCTGGACCAGGATCGTCTTGCATCTCCTGTACTTGAAGTCTTGAAGTCGACAGCCGACCCAACGCCCAACGCCCCTTGGACACACAGTCCATCTCAAAGACAACACGGCATGCGTCAACCAAAAAAAATCGCAACATCTTCGCTTTGAGATTCATGAACCTGAACCCTGTCAGGTCCTTGGAAAAGCATTTATTGCAGAGCTGCTCCAACACGGCACGCTGCCGTTGACGACGCCTAGGAAAACATGACGGGAGATTGCTGATTCCGGCAGCTGACCTGACCTAAAAGGTTTGCACGGAAAACTAAGCAGAAATAAGAGGCTTCGAACTCGCCAGTCCGCTACTGATTCAATCGAAGTTCCTGTACATTTTCGACCCGTCGAGTTGTGTGACATGAATGTGATGAGCGACCAGAAGAAGAGCCGTTCGATGATCAGCTGTGCGAAACTATGGCATTTGAGCTTTGAACGGTTTGCCTCCCCAACGGTTTATTACCCGTTCTGGCATGGACAAACGAGGACTAAATGCGCTGAAAGCAGCAAAGAAGCTGGTGATTGGCCTCTGTGTCCTTGCGATCTCTCCTTGTTTGAAGAGCTCGATCAAGCAACTCGCGAGCCCGATGCTTGTGTGCTACCTGCAGCCAGACCCATCACAAATGAACTGTGTGCTCTCTCAGGACCCCAAGGATGTCCTCAGCGTCAGAAAACTTGCAAGGGATCGGAACATTGGAACGCAACTCTGCCCCGCGGCTTCTGTTGAACCTGTGCAAGACAACCAGACACACAAGCACAGCAACTTCTTGTAGAATTAGTGGCCATCAATCCTGTCATCCATCACCGCCGAACAACGTGCATTGAATCTCGCCTTAATGAAACATTGTCTTAACATGAACAGAAGTTCATATTGAATAAGTACATCCTGTGACACTAGTTGTCGGGCTTGTTGACGATCCGCCACATGTGAAACAGATACAAGGTGACATGTCAGAGCTTGAAGCTGTGAATAAAACCACGGCCGGGTGGCAGCTGCGCTGTCCGAATGTCGGTTCAACACACCCAACACGCGTTGTGCGCGACACACACCGTCGCGACATCAGCACATGCACTGCCAAGAATTCTTTGCTGGACTTCACTCCAAAATCAAACTACTTGAATTGTGTCTAAACCCCGGAATGCTTAAAACAAGGACGTCCTTTCTGAACCCGCAACAACAACTTTCTATTTTTACAAATGTGCGTTCACGTGCGTTCCTTATCAATCGCGACTCGTTGCTCTTCCAGCGCCGGCTTGTGGTACTCCGTTTTCGGGGATGGGGTTTGCTTAACTAATTTACTGAAGGTGCGGCTCCACACACGTTTGATTTCGATTTGTCTTGGGAATGAGAATGCTGCCCGGAATCCCGGCAATGGCCAGGCAAGCTGTAGCTGGACTAGGTGGGCAAAACGGGTAAATTTTAGCTGTTGCGAATGTGTGTGGCGCCGGCCACCTCCATCCTCTCATCGTCGCTGAAACAGCTCCAAGCCGTACATAGCTGAGTAAGCGGTCGTGCATGTTGTGAGGTTTGCTCGTTTGCGCGGACCGAGTGCAGCTGCACTGCCGACGAGGCCGACCTACGCGACAAAAAAAAGTTGTGAATGTGTGCATAAAAATCGCGCAAACGTGAACTCATATGCTTATACGGACAAACCTTGCGCTTTGTGACCTGCCGTGATCTGACTCGCGGAGTTCCACGCCGTAGTTCAAGAGCTTGAACAAAGTAAGTTGGATGATACGTTTTTGTATTGTCGCGAAGTGCCGACCGAACAGTTGGCCCAATACTGCCAAATCTAAACTCCTTAAGATCGTGACGTCGCGACTGCCAGCCGGAGGTCACACCTACGGTTAGAACTTTAGATGTGGTATTGACGCATTTATTTGCAAAGGTGTAGATATTTGTAAGAAGAACACTTTATTTCTTCGTCTTCTCCGGTGTACTTCGGTGTCGCTCTGCAGCGCTGACGTTCGACATCTTGTCTTCATCGTCGCTGGAAGTGCTCAGTTCCTGAAGGTACATAGCTCTTGCTGTTGCTAGCTGCTAGGTTTGTACAAGTTCTGAGCAAAGTCCTCTCTGCTTCATTGGGTACAGTTCCCATCGACTCTCTTGTCTCGCATTTTGCTAACACGTCTTGTTTCTTCACATCGATTTGACTGGCCCACTCCAAAAAAAACTGTGCTTTGTGTTTTTGTTTCCGGCTTTTTGACTTTGAGTCGCTGCACGGTAGCCGAGCGTTGCGTAAGCTAGGACATGCTTGTTGCATGGCGACAAACAAGTTGTTCGTTTCACGATCCGAAGAGCTACGTTAAACGGCAATTCAGAGTCTGGTGTTTCTGATACTTTGTTTGCTGACAAAGATCACCTGATTTGTAACGTGGCTGCTCAAGCCTGCCTCGATCTGGGTCAGCAGCTATGTCGTGAAGGGATTTCGAAGATTTGCGTCGATTGGGCAGCTCTATACTTCTGTATTACTGCTATTCTACAATTGTATTTGGTTTTTCCCGAAAGCATCGCGAAGGGTTCTTCCGTGCGGAGCCCCGCAGAGAAAATACACAGAGAATACATGGGGTCAAGTACACTTGACTTTACGAACACTTGACTTTATGACATTTGACTTTACCACTTTA